ATCTGAAATTTTGCAGTTTCCACAAAATCCACCAAACTGTGAATTAAGTAGGTCCCTAGTTATTCTAAGTCTGAGCTCTACATACTCAAAGCCAACTATGTGCCAAGAGCATATATTTTCCTATTAAAACCTGTTTAAAGAAATAAACATATCGTAACCAGAATATTCCAGAGTCATACACATTGTTAGGTAGGCATTCTGTCAGAAATACTGAAAGGGAAAGGGTGACCCTCTGTGGCTGTTTAGATTAATCAGCAGGAAGATTTCTTTAAGATTTTTCAGAATATTTATCCTAGGAAGTATCTTTTCCATATGCAAAATGTAATGAGAGACTCAGTCATTAATTATTAATTATATCCTAACATCTCCTGAATGATATTGCTTTGTACATGAAGAGATCTTAGGAGAAAATACTGTATTATAATTTTTAATGGCTCTTTAACAGCCAGTCATAATAACAATTAATTGATCTGGCGGGTCTGCTTGTAATTCAAATTTATGGTTTTGTATTTGTCTCAGGCACTACTGAATTGAAAAAAACATGTTTTATAAAATACAATGAAAGTATAGATCTAGGAGAGAAAACATCATGCTAACTCAAAATAAAAAATAGAATCCACAAGAAGATAATGAAACTTATCACTAAAATACTGCTGAAGATAAAATCAACTAACTTAAAAAAAATCATTGTCTCATAAGACTAGGATGCTTCAAAGCAGAGGGAACACGAATAATGCTCTCAAGAGCACTGGAGAGGCAAATGTATTAATTTAAATAAAATATAACAGCAACATTAGCACCTCCAGTAAGGGCATGTGGCTGTTCAATATTAATCTATGATCACTATAAATGACTGATTGTAAACAATAGGTACCTTGTAGCTATCTAGGGTTATTGAGGGCTGATTAGATAATTGAGCTCAACGCAATAGTAGGTTTTCACAAAAATAGCCAGGAGGGCCGAAGAATGGACAGATAAGCAACAGAAGGCAAGTTGAGCCATTAACTAGACCCAAGCTAAGGACAGACATCCAAAAAGCCGAGCCTGAATTGATTCAACCTTTGCAGGTTAGCCCTTTCCCCCTCTTACTATGAGGCCCTGATTAGGCTCTGTTGCTTCTCTAAGCACAATAAAAAAAAGGGAAGGAGCAATCTGTGTTTAATGGGAAACACAGGGGACCAAAAAACATTAACTTCAAAATAAACATACCAGTAGTAATTTGCATACGTGCAAATTACTACAGGTATTTACAGATTTAGTCAATCCAGAATTGATCCATTTCACCTTTTTTTGCAAATTGCTGGAAGATTTAGTACGAATATTCCACAAACACACTTTTAAGCAGTATTTTTGTACTTATATATAAACTATGCATGATATTAGTTCAAAGCCAAAAAGTTTATGATTTATCACATAGTTCATTAGGCTGGGCCCCACCAGAGTCAACAGCATTTCAAGCCATGGTGACCCCACAGCTCAGCATGTGTGTAATCCAGATACCCCTCACAAAGAATCCATGTTGCTAATTAGCCCCCCACTGATGACTGGAGCCACATGTTGTCACAAGTCCTGGAACCCTCCACAAATTTATATGCAAATGAGGCATAGAGCCACCTGGTTTGGCTCCGCCTCACGGAGGGTGGGGCTATACAGGTCACATGCAATGGGTCAAGAGAGGGGGCAACAGAGCCTCTCATCTACAGAGAAGTTTTGTGATGTTTGCCAGGCATTTAAGGCTGGTGAAGAAACAGGAAACATCAGAAATGGGAAAGAAAGGTGCTGCTCAGCTGTGGGAGGGAAGAGGAAGTTGAAATGTATTCAATGTAACGGTTCACTATTTTGAGTTGTTTCTACATTGAGGGATGCCAATGTGACTCCATATTTAAAAAGGGCTCTAGACAGGATGCAGGGAACTACAGGCCAGTAAACCTATCTTCTGTTTCTGGAAAACTGGTAGAAACAAAAAAGAAAGAGTTGTTCAGCACATGGATGAACATGACTTACTGGGGAGAATCAATGCATATTTGTCAAAGGGAAATCATGCTTCACCAACCTATTATAGTTTTTTTGAGGTTGTCAATAAGCAGATGGATTGGGGCAATCCAGTTGACATAGTATCTTTGGACTTCCAAAAAGCCTTTAACAAGGTCCCCCATCAGAAGCTCTTAACTAAATTAGGTAGTCATGGGACTACAGGGAATGTCCACTCTTAGATTAGTAATTGGCTCAAATACAGAAAGCAAAGAGTGGCTATAAAGAGTCAGTTTTCAGGATGGAAAGAAGTAAACAGCAGAGTCTTCCAGGGATCTGTGTTGGGACCAGGACTGTTTAACATATTAAAAAATGATCTGGAAAGGGAGGCAAGTAGCAAGGTGGCCAAATTTGACTAGGACACAAAGTTATTCAGTGATAAAGACCAAGGTAGACTATGAGAAATTACAGAAGGATTTAGCATAACAGCAAATGGGCAACTAAATGGTAGAGGCAGTTTAATATAGATAAGGGTAAAGTGATGCAACTGGGCAAAAATAACCCAAACTATATCTATACTACGATGGGCTCTATATTAGCTGTTACCACACAGGAAAGAGATCTGGGAGTCATTGTGGATAGTTTGCTAAAAACACTGGCTCACTGCTCAACAGCTGTCAAAAAGGCAACCAAAATGGTATGGATTATTAAGGAAGAAATTGTAAATAGACCAGAAAGTATTATGATGTCTCTATAAATCCATGGTGTATCCACACCTCGAATCTTGTGTCCAGTTCTAGTACCCTCACCTCAGAAAGAAAACTTAGAGACGGTACAGAGAAGGGCAACGAGGATGATCAATAGCATGGAGGGGCATCTGTGACACAGCAACCTTAGCGCTCTGTTACTTTAAGGGCTAGACCAGGGAGATGGCAGGTGCCTGACGCGGGTGGCCATTTAATGCTCAGCTCCCTGAAGGTGGGGAGAGCAGCATGAGACCAACCAGCAGGGAAGAAACATCTCCCTCCTGAGCTCTGGCTCCAGGATCATCTCGGAGGTAAGGATGAGGCTATGGGGAAGGAGGACTGATGAGGCCATCAGTCCTGGGCGTGACTTGAAATTGCACCCTGCCAGGGAAGGGTGGCTCAGTGGGGCTCTTGGTGGCATAGGAACCCTCAAGAAATGCCAGGTAAGATACGACCCCAGTGAAAGGCAAGGAGAGACACCTAAAAACCCCATCCCACACATCCCTGGTGGGTTCGATCTACAAAGGGGGAGCCCCCAGCTCACGGGAGTCCTGAGGCAGGGTCCAGGTCGGTGGAGGGACCCAGGCTCCCCATGAAACCTGAGAATGCAGCAGCCCTGAGAGGGGGGCAGGCATGGCTGTGGCCACCTGAGCCCCATGGGGTGGAAGACCCCAGAGGAGCACCAGCGAGGGGGCGGTGTTGAGCCCCAGTGAGGGAGAAGAGAGGGCTGCGAGCCCACTATGTGGGGCCAGGGGCCCAGTGTGTGTTTGTGTACATTTATATGTTTGCCTGTCTAAAGGAAGAACCAATGCAAACACTGGAGGAAGCATCTGCGAGGCATGGGACATGTAATGGGAGGTTGGAGTGTGTAAGCACTGGCCTGTTACAACTAGGGCACTCAAAGGGCAGCCTCCTGACTACTTAACATCTTAATTAGATAACAACAAGGAGTGGCAGGCAAGCAAGGTGGGTGGCTTGCCTAGAGACAGGGGCAGACTGGTGTTGGCACCAGGTCTGGAAGTCACCCGCGTCACAGCTTCCATAAAAGGAGAAACAAAAGAGGGTAGGCCTAGTTGGGAAAAAAGATGCTCTAGGGGGAACATGATAAGGGTTTACAAAACACTAAACAGTGAAGAGAAGGTAAATAGGGATTTATTATTTACTCTTTCACAATAAAAGAACTACGGGTCACAAAATAAAACTAGTAGGTAGTAAATTTAAATCTAACAAAAGGAAATTCTTTTTCGTACAGCATGTAATTAAAGGGTGGGACTCATTTCCACCAGATGTTGTAGAAGCTGACAGTTTAGCTAGATTAAAAGAGAGATTGAACAGATTCTTGGAGGAAAAGGGCATAAGTAGGTATTGAGCATGGGAGTTAGGGATACAGCCTCTGAATTAGAACTTCCTAGACCCTAAATGCTGGAGGCTGCAAATTAAAAAGGAACAGTGGGGGGAAAAAAACCTGGCCTTTCAGGGTCCACTCTCTGCCACGATGTTTTTGCAGAATACTGGGCAAGATGGACCTATGGCCTGACCTAGTAAACGGCAATTCTTAGGATCTTAGGTTCACCATGAGTTGAAAAAGTTGACAAAAGGTGGACTGAGCTCAGCAGGCACTATATCTTATTGAGAAGGGCTGCACTAACTTAGTTTTGTGGTAGGATCCCATCAATACTTTTGCCCAATATGGGCCATGTGTTTTACAGAAATGCTCAGCATGGGCTGCATTCAATCGGCTTCATAGCTGTTCTCCATTACTGAATACACGCCGCTTCTGGCAGCATTTTAATGACAGATGATGCATTTCATGAAGTGGTTTTCCTGTATGCACAGGTAAGACAAGGGGCTTTTTCCCCCATGCTGACTGGGGGGGAAAAATCTTGTCTTATATTTGAGTAAATACAGTACCGAGAAGTTATAACTTTTTATATCGAGTTTCTCAACCAGTAGTCAAGCAATTTTAAATACAGATAACTTTTCTATTCAATAAATTATTTGCTTTAATAATTACTTAAAACGTGAAAAATATGAAGCGTTCAGAAGGCAGCTTTCATGTATGCTCAGGACAGACAAGTTAATCAATTGTCTGTCTTTCCCTGTTGCCCTGAATCTAAATGATTCCATTTCAATAATTTACTACTTACAAATGCTGTCAACTGTTCTAATTTTTTATCTCATAAATGCACAAGAAAGTAGGTCACTGAAAATGGGCTTACACACACACAGTAACACAGAGACACAACACAGGATTAAAAAACAAAAGGAGATGAAAAAACTGACCTGCTTCTTTTGGTGTTTGTTTAGGAGGGCTAAAAATAAGATATAACATCTGGAGCAGTCTGCTAAAGCTGCACAGCAGTCATTGTAGGAAGAAAGTTTGCTATAAATATATAAAAATAAAATATAAATGAATGAAAGCATTCTATCCTTTCTGCAAAATACAAAAAACAATCTACTTTCAAGCTTCAAGTAACATTTTCCAATATACAAAACCAAATGCCAGTACTTTCCCTTCTGCTACACATGCATGCAGGCAGTTGCATAACAGCACAATACTGAACTCTGCTGAATTTATAGCAACAATTATTATGGTTGTGTGCCACTAACAATGAGTAAAAGTCTAACTATTCTTGTTCCAGTACACTAAGGAAGAAGAGGGTATGAGGTGCCTTCCACAACCCATATGCCAAGTCTAAGCAGAGTACCAATGCTACTAGCCCTTAAGCACTAAGAGGAAAATTTCAAGTCAGCACAGGAAGCCAGGCTGAAGATGAGAACAGGTCCTTATCCTTGCTGCATACCTACCAGTACCTGATTTTAATACTGATGGAACATATATCTTTCACCATTAGCAATGAAGAACACTGCTTCCTGCAGCTGCCCTGACATTATAGCTCCTTCTGGCTGCTATATCTCTGTATAGCTCTCCCTTATCCTTACAAATAAGAGCAAGGACATATTTTGGCTTACACACCATGTTATGACTTGGGTAATAGTTTACTTCCAGTACCTGCAAATATCTGCAGAATCAAGTAGGATCAGAACAGGCTATAATATTTATGGGGCCAGAAAAAAGAACAACATGAATTGATCTGAAAATGTAAATTCTGTACAAAGAAGATAGCTAAATATTTCACATGAGAAGATAATAAATATGGATGCTGTAGTAATGTTCAAAGGTCAAAGAACAGCATTTCTTTGGTCTGTGCTACTCAGGTATTGCTTTTATTATACAATAGCAACTGTTAGTTACGGTCAGGGTTACTGTATAACTTTTTGGTGCCAAATCAACATCCAGATCACAAGAAAGAAATCAGTGCCCATAATCAGCAAATACAAGATAACACCTAATGAACTGACAATTTTCAAATAATAAAATCCAAGACTGTACCTGTACTAAATCATACATGGGATCTAGAAAACGCTTGGTGGAATTACCGTAGAAGCATAGTTTATATTACATTACAAAAAGGCCTCCTTCGCAGCCACATTATTTGGTATTTTAACAAGCTAGAAGTAAAACCACTTTCTCCTTGCAGGGAAAACTACTCAAATAGTTCTAATCAACTCTAGAACTGACTCATCTTTGGAAACCAGATTCAATAAAAGAAAGCATACTGAGGGTAGAAAGTGGAGAGAACCCCTGGAAACCATACTATACAAACCGCATAGTCAGGTTCTGCCTGCTTTAAGCAGTACTTCTCTGCAGCACGCTCCCTTTAGTACTGGGTAACCTTGTTAGTAGAAGTCTGAAGATGGATGACTGCTGGGATTGGGAGCTTTTCCAGTGAACCCTTGTAGTCATGGGCTAGAGGAACTCACAACACCACCACAAAGGCAAAGGCAAATCTCCCACCCTCTACCCCCACAAATTCACCAGCAGCCTTTTTGCTAGCTCCTGCAAAATTCTCAAGTAATTTACTAGTCTATTTTAATTATTCAGTATTTGAAGTTTTTCAATCAACTCTGCCCAAATTCCCATTCTCCTGCTCTGCCTCATTCAACATGGCGGGGGGAGGAACCCCCTTGTCTTGTATTTGAGAACAAGGTGGATGGAGCGGGGATGGGACAGACTGCTGCAGCTCCAACAGGGGACACAGGCACAGTGGGGTGGTGTGGGGTGGTAAAAGGTAGGGGTCAGGATGCCTGTCCCCCTACTGTTGCTTGCCCCACTGCAGCAGCATGGAGGACAAATTTCAGACAACCTTCCAATTATTAGATTCTACATGTGGAAAATTATAACAAACATCATTTTTCCATGTCTAGAATCTAATTATTGGGGGGTTGCCTTAAATTAAAAAAAAATCTTGGTTTTGGGTAAATACAGTACATTTGTTTAGTTTGGAGATATCATGATGTAAGGGGTTTAAAATACAGCAAATAGGTTTAGATCAAATCTCGGGAAAACGTCTTTAACTGTAACATATATAGGACAATGGGAAAAGCTGCTTAGGAAAGCTGATGAAACTTCTTATTTGGAGTTTTTTAGAAATAGGCTGGAGAGACATCTATCTGGGATGGTTTAGGAACCACAAAGCCTATACTGTATCAATGCAGAGGGCTGGACTAGACAGATTGTCCTTGAGTTCCCTTCCAACACTATGATCCTGCAACTACCAACCAGTATATTTCTATGATCAGATGAGTTAGCAGGTTAAATGACTTGCATGAAAACTACAAATGTTGTTTTCACTAGGATTTTACCTTGAGTTAGCTAATTAGGGTTAAAAGCACACCTTTTATCCCAGTGAAGACAAAGCTGAAGGGGTTATTTGTATTGGAATAGGAAACTTTCTAGGTATCCCTCTCTGCCAGACCTCCTTCAGAGGCAGCATATCTTTTTGGGGAACAATCAATGGGCTTCCATAGTGCTGTAGTGATATTCTTCTAGAGAAACGAAATATGACCTCCCATCTGCACAAGGAAGCCCCCTCTCCTATAACTTAATCTTCTGCTATGACCTGTAACGTTTCAAGTAATAATTATGAGTCTACATCTCATATATTTTGGGGCATAACAGATGCAACTCCTATTGCAAAATATGAATTACAAATAAGATCATTTCAAACTTCATTTTTAAACAACTATTACAATAAGATTATTAAAGACACAAACTTGTTAAATTATCCTTCCTTTTTAAACATAACAAAACCATTCTAAAAGCTAAAATAATTCCAAGTTTGTAGGGCTATGATACATTGCTTTATGAATATTAATACAGTAAATCAAGTTATCATAAAAACAGAGTTATGCCTTCCTTTTCAAAGCAAGTTAATACAAGAAATCAGTCATTTCTAAGGTAAGAGGGGAAGCGGAGAACCTGGAGGAAGCAGAAGCAGGAGGGGACAGCAGGAGAGGCTCATGAGTACGTAGGGCAAATGGCTAGTCACCTCAGGTGTCTGTACACAAATGCACAGAGCCTCGGAAACAAGCAGGAAGAATTGGAGTTGCACTGTATATAAAACAGCTGTACGATAGGGGTGTGCGAAACGGGCTGTATTCGATTCGGATTTGAATCTTCGCTGAATTGAATCAGTGACCGAAGCTTCGCACAGCCCTACTGTATGACTAGTCAGAGCTCCGGTATGAAACTGGAGATAGGCCTGTTGAAAGTCTCTGGGTTAAGGTTAAAGGGGAAAGTAACAAGGAATGATGTTGTGGTGGGTGTCTGCTACAGACCACCAGACAAGGAGGATGGGGTACATGAGGCTTTCCTCAGAAAACTAGCAGAAGTTTCCAGATCACAGGCCCTGGTTCTCATGGGGGACTTCAATCACCAGGACATCTGCTGGGAGGGCAACACAGCAGTGCACAGACAATTCAGGAAGGTTTTGGAAAGCATTGGAAACAACATCCTGGTGCAAGTGTTGAAGGGAACCAGCACACAGCTGTGCTCTTCTTGACCTACTGCTCACAAACAAGGAAGATGTAGAAGTGGATGGCAAGTTGGGCAGCAGTGACCACGAGATGATAGAGTTCAGGATCCTGACAAAAGGAAGAAAGGAGAGCAGCAGAGTATGGACCCTGGACTTCAGAAAAGAAGACTGACTCCCTCAGGGAACTGATGGGCAGTATCCCCTGGGAGGCCAGTCTGAGGGGGGAAGGAGTCCAGGGGAGCTGGTTGTATTTTAAAGAAACCTCACTGAGTGCACAGGAACAAACCATCCTGATACGCAGGAAGACTAGCAAATGTGGCAAGTGACCAGCTTGAGCTTAAACACAAAAAGGAAGCTTATAAGTGGAAACTTGGAGAAGTATAAGAATATTGCTTGGGCATGAAGGGATGAAGTCAGGAGGGCCAAAGCACAACTGGAGTTGCAGCTAGCAAGGGACAATGTGAAAAGTAACAAAAAGGGTTTCTACAAGTATATCAGCAACAAGAGGAAGGTCAGAAAAACGTGGGTCCCCTACTGAATAGAGGAGGCAACCTAATGACAGATGATGAGGAAAAGGCCAAAGTACTTAACCCCTTCTTTACCTTGGTCTTCACAGGCAAGGTAAGCTCCAAGACTACTGCACCAGGCAGCAGTTTGGGGAGGAGGTGAGCAGCCTTCAGTGGTGAAAGAACAGGTTAGGGACTATTTAGAAAAGTTGGATGTGTACAAGTCTATGGGGCCAGATGCAATGCAACCAAGGGTGCTGAGGGACTTGGCTGATGTGACTGCAGAGCGCTGGCCATTATCTTTGAAAACCTGTGGCGATCAGGGGAGGTCCCAAACGACTGGAAAAGGGCAAATATAGTGCCTATCTTTAAGAAAGAGAAGGATGATCCAGCTAACTACAGACCAGTCAGCTTCACCTCAGTCCCCAGAAAAATCATGGAGCAGGTCCTCAATGAATCCATTTCTAAGCACTCGGAAGACAAAAAGGCGATTAGGAACAGTCAGCATGGATTCACCAAGGGCAAGTCATGCCTGACCAACCTGATTGCCTTATGAGATAACTGGCTGTGTGGATGCGGGGAAAGTAGTGGACATAATATACCTTGACTTTATCAAGGCTTTTGATACCATCTCCCACAGCATCCTTGCAAGCAAACTGAGCAAGTATGGGCTGGATGAATGGACTGTAAGGTGGATAGAAAGCTGGCTGGATTGTCAGGATCAACAGGCAGTAATCAAGGGCCCAATGTCTAGCTGGCAGCCAGTATCAAGTGGAGTGCCCCAGGAGTTAGTCCGGAGGGCCAATTTGGTTCAATATCATCATTAATGATCTGAAAGATGGGATGGATTGCACTCTGAGCAAGATCGTGGATGACAACAAGCTAGATGTAGTAGATATACTGGAGGGTAGGGTGATCATTCAGAGTGATCTAGACAAATTGGAGCATTGAACCAAAAGAAATGTCATGAGGTTCAACAAGGACAAGTGCAAAGTCCTTCACTTAGGACGAAAGAATCCCATGCGCTGCTACAGCCAGGGGACTGACTGGCTAAGCAGCAGTTCTGTAGAAAAGGATGTGGAGGTTACAGTGGACAATAAGATGGATATGAGTCAGCAGTATGCACTTGTTGCCAAGAAGGCTAAAAGCATACTGGGCTGCATTTGTAGGAGCATTGCCAACAGGCTGAGGGAAGTAATTATTTCACTCTATTCTGTACTGGTAAGGCCACATCTGGAATACTGTGCCCAGTTTTGTGCCTACTATAGAAAAATGTGGACAAGCTGGAGAGTCCAGCAGACAGCAACAAAAATGGTTTTGGGGTTAGAGCACATGCCTTATGAGGAGAGGCTGAGGGAACTGGGTTTATTTAGTCTGCAGAAGAGAAGAGTGGGGGGGCGGATTTGATAGCAGCCTTTAACTACCTGAAGGGGGGTCCCAAAGGATGGAACTACGCTGTTTTCAGTGGTAACAGATGACATAACAAGGAACAATGGGTCTCAAGTTCCAGCAAGGGAGGTTTAAGATGGATATTAGGAAAAACACTGTCATTAGGAAAGTAGTCAAGCACTGGAACAGGTTACCTAGAGTGGTGGTAGAATCTCCATCTTTGGAGTTTTTAAGGCTTGGTTTGATAAAGCCCTGGCTGGAATGATCTAGCTAGGGATGGTTCTGCTTTGAGCAAGAGGTTGGACTAAATGGCCTCCTGAGGTTCCTTCCAACCCTAATTTTTTATGATTCTATAATTTTACATGGAACTGCCTGAGCCTGCCCATTCAAATTGCTGGCTGTGCAGCCATTAACTTTAATAGGCACAAGCATAGATCCCCAAAAGGAGAGGTTTTCTGGATTTTTTTTTAATGATTATTAAAACAGTGTTTTGTACCTAAATATCCTGGCGATATTGGTACACACATCTTTATCACTTATACGCTGCTCCAAGACTTCACAGAGCTCTGAAATGGCATCACTGCACAGGAACTGGCATCTTGACTGACGTAAATCAACCAAGTTTCGTAAAGTAGCTGTCAGCTGTAGAGAAATTATTAAAAGAATTAATAAATCATCAAGTTGTCTCCTATGAAATCCTTGCATGTTTGAAAATTTAATAAGGCTCAGATTTCACCTAAACTGCTTTAGCAATTGTCATTACTCTGATAACAACAAGGGTAGGCACATGTGGAGCAACTGTTAGACATTATTAAATGTAATACAGGTAACAAAATGATACATATCCAATGTATATACATATTAAACAATTTATATTTATTTATTTAATCATGTGTATATATACACACATTTCATATATATATATTTAAAGAATATCAGTCTAAGTCTTTTGCCTCTTTACACATGTTTTCACTTTACTGTCATATTACCTCCACTTCTGAAATACATTAGAACAGGAGTGGGCAATTATTTTGGCTGGTGGGTCACTTAACAAGTTTCGGGGAACTGTTGAGGGCTGCACACACAATCTTTCTGAAGATATTCTTTTAACATATTATAGATAAAAAAAAAAAAAAAAAAAAAAAAAAAAAAAAAAAAAAAAAAAAAAAATTAAAAAAAAAAAAACAC